CCCTGATGTGTTTTGTTCCCCCTCCTGTGTTGATGTGTTCTCACTGTTCAGCTCCCACTTATGAGTGAGTACATGCAGTATTTGGTTTTCTGTTCCTGTGTTAGTTTGCTGAGGATAATGGCTTCCAGCTTCATCCATGTCCCTGCAAAGGACATGATCTGCTTTTTATGACTGCTTAGTATTCCATGATGTATGTGTGCCATTTTTTTATCCAGTCTATCACTGGTGGGCATTTGGGTTGATTCTATATCTTTGCTATTTTGAACAGTGCTACAATAAACATATGTGTGCATGTATCTTTATAATAGAATGATTTCTATTCCTTTGGGTGTATACCCAGTGATGGGATTGCTGGGTCAAATAGTATTTCTGTTTCTAGTTCCTTGAGGAATTGCCACACTGTTTTCCACAGTAGTTCAACTAATTTACATTTCCACCAATAGTCAAAAGGGTTTCTATTTATCCACAGCCTCATCAGCATCTATTGTTTCTTGACTTTTTAATAATTGCCATTCTGACTGGCATGAGATGATATCTCATTGTTGTTTTGATTTGCATTTCTCTAACAATCGGTCATGTTGAGCTTTTTTTCATATGTTTCTTAGCTGCATAAATATTTTCCTTCAAGAAGTGCCTGTTCATGTCCTTTGCCCACTTTTTAATGGGTTTGTTTTTTTCTTGTAAATTTGTTTAAGTTCCTTGTAGATTCTGGATATTAAACCTTTCCCAGATGGATGGGTTGCAAACATTTTCTCTCATTCTGCAGGTTAAGGCTCTGCTTACATTTCATTCATTCATTCATTCATTCACTCATTCACTCATTCATCTCTGCATGACTGAAGGGGAAAACCCCCATGGGAGCCCAGGTGTACTTTTTAGACCTCCTCTCTCCATCCCTGACTCTGACCATGGTGACTTCATACCTGAGCAAAAATGAATCTTCTTCCAGCTCTCTCCCTGGTATGTGTGTCACGTGGCTTTGACGATGCTCCTGACAATCCCACAGCATGGCTCCCAGATCAGAGTAGAACCATACAGCCTGACTCACTAAGCTGTCCCGTCTGTGTTTTAGCAGCTCCTCAATAGCACGAGGCTCACACATCTCAATTGTGCCAAACCAATGCACTATTTTGCACAGTCTTGGAACTCAGAATAAATGAATGTATCCAAAGATTTCTATGTACACAATTCAGAATCTGCTGTAGATTGAATGTTTGTGTCCCTCCAACATTCGTTGTTATAATCCTAACTCTCAATGAAATGGTATTAGTAGGTGGGGCCTTTGAGAGGTGATTAAGTCATGAAGGCAGAGCCGTCCTTATAAAAGAGACCCTGGAGAACTCCTTTCCCATTTTGCCACATGAGGACACAGAAAGACGGTTGCTTATGAGTTTGGAAGCAGGTCCTCACCAGCTGCCAAATCTGCAAGTGCCTTGGTCTTTCACTTTCCAATCTCTAAAATGGTGAGATGTAAATTTATACTGTTCAAAACCCACTCGGGCTATTTTTTTTTAAATTAAAATAGTAGCTTGACCTGACTAGATCCTATGGCATGCATAAAAGACCATAGACTAGGGCATGTTGAAGGCAACTGTGATGAGTTATTTTCTGGAACCCAGTATATATTAGGTCTTGTACTAAGTAATTTTAGCCTTCTAGAATTAATCATCACAAGGATTTGTGATGATGGCATTGCATCCTTATTCTACAAGTTAGAAAACTGATACTCAGAGAGGTTACGTAAGGTTTTTTCCCTTTTTTTTTTTTTTTTTTTTTTTTTTTTTGAGACAGTTTCACTCTTCTCACCCAGGCTGGAATGCAATGGTGCAATCTCAGCTCACTGCAACCTCCACCTCCCAGATTCAAGCAATTCCCCTGCCTCATCCTCCCTCGTAGCTGGGATTACAGGCACGCACCACCACACCTGGCTAGTTTTTTATTCTTAGTAGAAATGGAGTTTCTCCATGTTGGTCAGGCTGGTCTCAAACTCCCGACCTCAGGTGATATGCCCACCTTGGCCTCCCAAATTGCTGGGATCATAGGCGTGAGTCATCACACCCGGCCCGAGATTCTGCTTTTAAAGAAGTTCAGTCCATCCAGTGTTGTGCAGTTTGACTCAATTAAGTTAACATTCCCTCCTTTTAAGGATCAGTGATGGATGGAAGAGTAGGGCCCTTCTTATGCTTCTACACTTACAAGAATGTGGTCTTGTTTCAGAAGCCTGGAGTGAATGTCACCAAGTGTGACGGACTGTGGTGACCATCAGGGATTGAGAATCAGAGGAGGCGTGCCTGCTGAGATAAGATCACTGTTTCCCAAGTGGAGACAGAGATGCAGTTAATTCAACAAAAGTGTGGCGGAATGAGCTTTTATGATAGGATGGGCATCAGAGATGGCGTCTCTAAAGATGGTCACCTGATCAGGGGCTGCTTCACGCTGCATCACAGTGAAGAGGCTGTCTGACCATCAGGCTCCTCCCACCTACTTACATTCTAACTCCATTTGTGTTTTCCCAGGCTGTGTGGATGGAGATACAGAAAGAGGACGCATTTTTTCTCATTCCATCACAGAGTGACTCAGCAAAATGAAACAGATGTGACAGTAGCAGTTTTCTTTCCTCCTCAGATCATATTCCATGAGTAAGAGACATATATTCTTTGGCAAAAAATGGAAGATTTTGAATCTTGCTTCTCTCTCTTGTATAAATTCATATGAAGCAGAGACATTTTGGCTAATTGCATAAAATCAGTATATTATTTTCTTTTTCTTTTTTGTTATAATTTTAAATTTCTTTTTTTTTTTTCTTTCCCTTTTTTCTTTTTTTTGGAGATGGAGTCTTGCTCTGTCACCCAGGCTGGAGTGCAAAAGTGGCATGATTTTGGCTCGCTACAACCTCCACCTCCCAAGTCAAGCGATTCTTCTGCCACAGCCTCCTAAGTAGCTGGGACCACAAGCACGCGCCACCACACCCAGCTAATTTTTGTATTTTTAGTAGAGACGGGGTTTCACCGTGTTGGCCAGGCTGGTCTTGAACTCCTGACCTCAGGTGGTCCGCCCACCTCAGCCTCCCAAAGTGCTGGTATTACAGGCATGAGCCACAGCACCTGGCCAATACATTTTAATAGGACTAGTCACTGTCAAAAACAGGACATTGATAGTGATACATTGCTATTAGCTCAGGTGCAGGCTGTATGTCCGGGTGATATTTGACAGCTGGAAAGTACTGCTAATGAACACAGGAATTCCTCGCTCTTGCTGAGTCCATCCATCCCTTTTCCAGGGGATATTTCAAGGGCAGTGCTACACACAGGAGACCACGGATGGTAGGGCTCAAAGAACCACTTTGTTTGGTTAAATCAATGCCAGACACCCCAAAGCAGGACTTTTTGGCCAACTGGACTGTAGCAGATGACTCAAATCAGTGCTGTCCAGTAGAGAGCTCCTACCAGGATCAAAGTGCTCCCTACCTGCGCTGTCCAATATGGAAGCCACTGGCCACAGGTGGTGTCTGAACACTTGAAATGTGCTAGTAGTTCAAATGAGAAACTGATTTTCACATTTAATTCACTAATTAAAATTAAAACTTATGTTTTTCTGGCTGGAACCATGGAGGGTGTCGCAGAGAAGAAAAAGGTTCCTGCTGTGCCAGAAAGCCTTAAGAAAAAGGAAAGGAGGCCGGGTGCGGTGGCTCAAGCCTGTAATCCCAGCACTTTGGGAGGCCGAGGCAGGTGGATCACAAGGTCAAGAGATCGAGACCATCCTGGTCAACATGGTGAAACCCCGTCTCTGCTAAAAATACAAAACATTAGCTGGGCATGGTGGCACGTGCCTGGAATCCTAGCTACTCAGGAGGTTGAGGCAGGAGAATTGCCTGAGCCCAGGAGGCGGAGGTTGCGGTGAGCCGAGATTGCACCATTGCACTCCAGCCTGGGTAACAAGAGCGAAACTCCGTCTCAAAAAAAAAAAAAAAAGAAAAAGGAAAGGAGTCTCCCGCTGTTCCACTCCCGCTGCACCCGATCTCTTCTGATCTCTGAAGCTAAGCAGGGTTGGGTCCTGGTTAGTACTTGGATGGGAGAAAAAGCATAGGAATATTGCAGAGCTGAAGGTCAAGTGCCCGAGAAGGAAGTTTGCTCAAAAGATGCTTCGAAAGGCAAGGAGGAAGCTTATCTCTGAAAAGGCGAAGCACTGTCGCAAGGAATATAGGCAGATGGACAGAACTGAAATTCAAATGGCGAGGATGCCAGGAAAAGCTGGCAACTTCTGTGTACCTGCAGAACCCAAATTGGCCTTTGTCATCAGGACCACAGGGGTCAATGGTGTGAGCCCATAAGTCCGAAAGGTGTTGCAGCTTCTTCTCCTTCGCCAAATCTCTAATGGGACCTTTGAGAACCTCAACAGGGCTTCAGTTAACATGCTGAGGATTGCAGAGCCATATATTACATGGGGGGACCCAAATCTGAAGTCAGTAAATGAGCTAATCTACAAGCGTGGTTATGGCAAATCCAAGAAAACGCGAATTGCTTTGACAGATAACACTCATTGCTCGACCTCTTGGTACATGTGGCATCCTCTGCATGGAGGATTAGATTCCTGAGATCTATACTGCTGGAAAATGCTTTAAAGAAACAAATTCCTGTGGCCCTTTAAACTATCCTCTCCATGAGGTGGAGTGAAGAAAAAGAGCGCCCATTTTGTAGAAGGTGGAGATGCTGGCAACAGGGAGGACCAGATCAATAGGCTTCTTAGAAGAGTGAACTAAGACATTAAGGTGTCTATCATGATTATTATTTATATATTTATTTTTTTGAGATGGAGTCTCGCCTTGTCGCCCAGGCTGGAGTGCAATGGCGTGATCTCGGCTTACTGCAACCTCTGCCTCCCCGGGTTGAAGCGATTCTCCTGCCTCAATCTCCCAAGTAGCTGGGACTACAGGCGCGCACCACCACGCCCGGCTAATTTTTTTGTGATTTTAATAAAGACAGAGTTTTACCATGTTAGCCAGGCTAAACTCTCGATCTCCTGACCTCATGATCCGCCCGCCTCAGTCTCCCAAAGTGCTGGGATTACAGGCGTGAGCCACCGTACCCGGCCCTATGTTTTTAATCCGGTCAGTTAATAAACAGTACCTGCTCCCAAAATGAAAAAAAAAAAATTAAACAGGCATATGTGGCTAGTGGCTGTCATACTGGCCAGGGACGATCTTGGCTCAGTGGACACTCCCTTCTAACCCCAATCTTGATTCACAAGAGCCAAAGGAGACCAGAGCCCAGCCCTTGAGAAGGAAGAAGAGGAAAGGATCTAGCATGGGGCTTTCATGTTCCATATCTGAGTAAGGATCTTTGATGGAAGAAGGAAGTAAGTGCAGTATGCATCATTTCCTTCCTCTGAGCATGCTTGTCTTTACCCAGCCTCTCCTCACCAGGTGGAAGCAGAGGGCAAAGGAGGAGCACCACTGTTCCATGGATTGTTCTCACACATGCCCAATCTCACTAATGTCCTGGGCTTTAAGTCAGTCATTCTAGGGTTCCATTCTCTTTGGTGCAAATGATGGGCGAACATGGAGTATAAACCAGGAATCTCATTTTTTCCCTACATTTTTCAGCAAGGTTGACCTGTTATGCAACTACACCTTGTGGCAAAGAGTAAGTGTTGAGAATTGACTGAGGTCTGCTTCCTGGATGTAAAAACCAGTATTTAGTGGGGGACAGAAAGACAGTTAAATTGAATATAACAAGAGGCGAGATGGCGCCATGGGAGGCTGAGAAAAGACTTTCCTAAAGACAAAATATGGGGTCTATGGCTATTAACATAAAATCTTCCTGCAGAGCCTACCCTATATTTGTAGTGCAAATCCCATTCTGTTTCTTTAGAGAATCTGAAAGATCATGCCACCCAAGCATGGAAAAGACGTGCAACACACAAAATATCCTAATACGCAAGGATCAGGTGGAGGAAGAGGAATCACTGTCCAGCTTTCCTCCTCAGTATCAACAGCTTCAACCCTTTGAGGATGAGGATTCCAGGTAAGGGAAACTATTTTTGAGAAAAGCTGACAACATTGGTCGCTATATCTCAATATCACAGAGGAACATGAGAAGCAGGCGGAATTTAGGTGATTTTCATTGGAATCAAAGGAAGTAATATATCACAGGCTTATATTCAATCTCATCAACTTGAGTATCAATGATTAAGGATTTTTTTGTAGATCAATTATACTCGATAAAGCTGTTCAAAAGAATTTAATATAATATCCCATCCTAGGAAAATCAAGGAAGATTAAGATGTAATCATCTCATTGACACAGAATAAAAACACTGGACTAAATCCATTTTATAATTAACATTTTAAAAATTGCTAGGAATTGAATAGAACATCCACAACCTAATAAAGAATAGGTACAGAAAACCTGCAGCAAACATTATACTCAGTGGGAAGCAAGACTATCTTCCCCATAATAATGGGAACAAGACACACAGGTTCATTTTTTTCCTTTCTATTAAACATTGTCCTGCAGAACTTTGCCACAGAAAACTATCACGCAAGAAAAAAAGAAAGAAAAGGACCCAAGGTCACAAAGAAGAGAAATAATTGTCTTTAAAAGTCCAAGACATCATCCCACATTTAAGAAAAAAAAAAAAAACCCGAGCAATTTCCTAAAAACCCACTCAAAGTAAGGAATAAATATAGCAATATTGTAGACTATGAAATCCAAATGCACATATTAATTGGATTTCTGTACACTAGTTATGGACACTCTGAAAATATAATTGAGGAAACAATGCAATCAAAATTAAACCAAAAAGAAGGAAAACATAGGAATGAAAAATATTTTAAAGTCCTCTGATTTTAAGCTGAAGAAAACAAACTATAATAAAAACGTAAAAACACAATTTTGAAAATGATGTAGTAAATAGGCATTTTGTCATTGCCAAAAGTATACACAAATGGTGAATAAGTATTTAAAAATGTTTCACATAAGTCATTAGAGAGAATAAGCTTATGTTCATTCATTATGAATGTGTATAATGAATGAACATAATCAATGAGCTTATGATTATTCATTGAATATTCACTTATAATGAATATTATAAGTGAATATTATTCATTAGAATGAATGGGCATTATTGCCACACAATTCCAGAAATGTTTGAATCAAACCTTAAGCAATGACATTTTCTCCATGGAGGTGTCTAGAGAACCTATACACAAAAAGGCAAGGAACAATGCAATCAAAGACCAGCGCGTTATTTTGGTTGAGCTATTACTCAATGCCTAACACCAACCTAATTCTCTAGGAACTGGCTTATGATGAGGCCGAAGGCTGCGGTGGGGTCCTGAGGTTTAACGCCCGGGAGGGGAGGATGCCTCTATTTGTAGCATATGCCAGCTTCCAAGGGGTGAATATCTCCATCATGGCAGATTTCAAACTACCAACCTGAAGTCCCTGCTGAGGGCGTTGGAAGGACACCTGCAGCAGTCCGTCATCCCATTTTCACCACACAGATACAAAAGACATAAATAACCTCAAGGGCATAGACAGCTGGAAAGTGTAGAAGAATGCAGTGTAGAAAATACTAGAAATTGGTATGTTTTAAGAATGTATTCCTGTTATTAATATGATTTATTTAAATGTTAGTTTGTATCTTTTCATTTAGACTAAGGGTTGTGTTGAACAACCTACTTGCAAGATCCCTGAAAATGGAACCGGTGGTTCTCATGATCTGGGATCATCAGTTCAGCGCTGGCTCCTCCCACCTTCTAAACCCTCCTCAGCAGGCAGACTGCAGCGTGCACATGCACCGGGAGAGAATATACAATGGCAGGTTTACTCTTGCTGCTTTACATGTGGCCATCAGAATCCATGGTGAAATGTGCAGCTGCAGACGGCAACCAGTCTTAGGATGTCAGGCCAAGGGTCTCTCCATGCTTGGCTTGCCCACAGAACCCTTCTGAGAAAAGCGCTATAGAGCCTTTCTCTTCATCCCGCTTCTCCAGGTACCTGTTCTTTTTAAACCTAATCCACGTGTGGATTTCTCTGCTGGTCTCTTTCACGTTGAAATAAACAGACATAGCAAGGAATAGATCGAAGGACCAGGGAACCTAAGGAAATGTCAGCAGAAAAGCCAACCATGTTTCATGATTTCACAGCAGCATCTGTTGTGCCGTAACTGTTATTGACACAGAAATAAACATTGTTTTTATTTGCTATTTCATCATCTACCGTCTTAGGGACTGGGAGTCTCACCCTCTGACTCCCCTAGTCTTGATTTTTTCCACATTCAAACACCCCAAAGCAGAGAATTTAATGGAGTTGGTTGCCTTCCTCCAAGGTATCACCTGTGTGCGGGTAGATTTCTCTCCCCAGGGGCCTGACGAACCATTGGCTCACCCTGTAGACCATGGAGTCCATGTTGGCTGATGTTGGAATCACCTGTGAGGCTTTGAAAGCACCGATGCTTGGGTCCTACCTCCAGACTTCAGATTCAATTGGTGTGGGCTGTGACCTGGGTATTGAGTGGCTTTTAAAGCTTCCCAGGTGTGGCCAAGGTTGGACTTACCTTAGAATATAAATGCACGCATTTCACGCGTCGGTCAATTACTGCTTCAGTCTTTGATTCCAACATCATATGATACCAATTGGAGCAATTTGAGCCAGAGAAGCTGGCTGAGTCCACGTTGAACACCGGCATAAAATAGAAGAGGGAGAGGTATCAAGACACATTTGGCTCTAGGGAGAACATTAGCTCTACTATTCATAAATCTGGATAAAAATATCTTTATTCTAAAGTCTTAGAATATATATAAAATATATATTATAAATATATATAGAATATATATTTAATATGTTATATATAAAATATATATAGAATATATATTTAATATATATTTAATATGTTATATATAAAATATATATTCTACATATATTTATAATATATATTTAATATATATTATCTATTAAATATATTTTAATAGATAATATATATTAAATATATTAAATTAATATATATTAATTTAATATATATTTACATTATTAAATTAATATATATATTAATTTAATATATATTTATATTATTAGATTAAATATATATTAATTTAATATATATTTATATTATTAAATTAAATATATAAATTAAATATATTAATATATTAAATATATAATATATATTAAATATATTTTTATATATAGATATATAAAATATGTAAATAAATATAAATTTAATATATATTTATAATTTAATATGTATTTATAATTAAATATATATTTATATATTTATAATTAAATCTATATAATATATATTTAATATGTATTTCAAAATATATTAAATATATATCATATAGAACATATATTAAAATATATATTAAATAAAATATATATTTAAAATATATATATTAAAATTAAAAATATATATGTCAAAATATCTTTATTCAAATGTCTTCTATTTTTTGATAGTCTAGATCCGTCCTAAGAGAAATCTCTGTGATGACGGAAGTGTCTCATTCTCTGCTACACAGTGTTACAGCCATGAGCGACATGTAGGGGTTGAGCACTTGAAATATGGATAGTACAATTGAGAAACTGAAGTTTACCTACGTTTAATTCATAGAAATGTAAATAGCACATCTGGGTAGTGGGCACTCTACTGGACACTGCAGCTCTAGTTTTTAATAACATTGTCTTCATTTTCATCAACTAATTCTTGATTTTTTAAATATTTTTGTAACATGGGAATCTCAACCTCCAGCGTATCAGAAGATCAGGAATCTTCACAGGAACAAGGTTCAGGTAATGGCTAACAGGGAGAGGAGTGAAGGGCGTATGGATTGGTGGAAATGTTCTGTGGTTTTACGTGGAAAAGTAAGGTTAGGGTCTTTTGTGCAGTGAAGACCGGGAGTGGTTTTCCTTCCTTCCGCCACGGTGCACCATGCAATTTAAATGGGGACATTTAAGCCTCCCACGAACCAGGGGATGGTCCTAGCAGCCGGAGACAGTCGAAGGGACTAGGAAGAATGCTCACCCATTCACCTCTTCAGCTTTGGAGCTTGATCCTTTTCTGACCTGGGCGTTCCTCACCAGCAGAAGGTGTCACCTGCTATTTAGGACCAGCAGACATTTAGGTGCACTGATTCCAGTCCTTGGCAAATGGTGCCCACCACCAAAACTCTCAAGCCTGGCTTCCCAGAAAACCCTATGGAATTTGGAGTATAATTTTACTCATGACAAAGAACGTTCTTGTGTCTCTCCTTGTCTGGATTCAAAGTAGCAAAACTCCATATTCTAGTCACGCTCTGTTCTCATCCGCTATCGGTAGTCCCAACAGCACCTGTGTAATTCAGCCCCCAGGAGTCCTTCCAGCCGTGCCTCTTCCAACTCCTTACCTCTTACATGTCTAGTATTTTCTTTTCAGGAGTTGGTTACTCAGAAGAGCATCAGGTAGTTTCCTGTTGTGCTGCTAAACTCCATTTTGAGGTCAAACGAGATTATAAAAATCCTCAGTTTCTGGGGCCTGAAGGAAATGTGGATGTTGAGCTGACTGACGAGAATGCAAACAGATACAGGTGAGAATGGAAGACGCTGATGATTTGAAAACAGTTCCAATATAAAGGAAGTGTGTAGGCTCCATTCCTTATGATAGCCGAAATTTCGTCAATAATATGTTTATTTCATGCACTGTGAAATTGGCATTTTAATTTCGACTATATAAAGTGGAGAGAAATTGGGGCCCAGAGAGGTTAGTGAACTCCCCAGCATTTTCTAATGTAGTGAAAGTCCCAGATGGGTCCCGAACCTTGCTCACTTCAAATACCACCTCTGTCTGCACATGGCTGCTTAAATCCAAGTCCTGGGGTTCTCCCGTCATGACATCACTCTGGCTCCTTTCAGCATTCGGTTCCCTGCTGCTGGCTGGTATCTGTGGTCAGCCACAGGCCTCGGTTTCGTGGTAAGGGCTGCGGCCACGGTGAGGATTGCATTTGGTTCCTGGAGTCAGCACCTGGCCCTGGACCTGCAGCACCATGAACAGTGGCTGGTGGCCGGCCCCTTGTTTGACATCACTGTAGAGCCAGAGGAGGCTGTCTACGAAATCCACCTCCCCCACTTCATCTCCCTCCAAGGTACTGCAGGGTGAGCGGAGGCTGTGGGGGCTTCGGGGGCGCGTCCTGTCTCACTGCTATTGTGATTCTCCTGCAGCAGGTGAGGTGGACATCTCCTGGTTCCTTGTTGCCCATTTTAAAGATGAAGGGATGGTCCTGGAGCATCCAGCCCGGGTGGAGCCTTTTTATGCCGTCCTGGAAAACCCCAGCTTCTCTCTGATGGGCATCCTGCTGCGGATCGCCAGCGGGACCCGGTTCTCCATCTCCATCGCCTCCAACGTATTGATGTATTATCACTCCCATCCCAAAGACATTAGGTTCCATTTGTACCTTGTCCCCAGCGATGCCTTGATAAGGAAGGTAAGCAGAGTGATTTAGGAGACCAGAGAAGATGAGAATTATATTTCCAGCTCATCCCCTTAGCCCTTCCAGTTCCTTGTGGAACAGAAAGGGCAAGGCACAGTTTTCATGGAGAGAAGCATAGATGACTCTCCCTGAGGTGCACCTGTGGGTGCAGAACATTGAGCCACATGCAACAATCCCGCAGCAATGCAGGACTGCTGAGAAGGGAGCTTTCTTTTCTGGCTCTCAAAGAGGAGATGTTGTGGGATGGGCAGAAGAAATAATATACAGAAATTCTCTCACCAAATTTTATTTATTTTATTTTATTTCTGAGACAGGGTCTCACTCTGTTACCTAGGCTGGAATGCAGTGGCGCAATCTCAGCTCACTGCAACCTCCACCTCCTGGGTTCAAGCGATTCTCCTGCCTCAACCTCCCTAGTAGCTGAGATTACAGGTGCCTGCCAGGAAGCCCAGCTAATTTTTTGTATTTTTGGTAGAGACAGGTTTTGCTAGGTTGGCCAAGCTGGTCTTGAACTCCTGACCTCAAGTGATCCTCCTGCCTCAGCCTCCCAAGTAGCTGGGACTACCGGCGTGTGCCACCATGCCCGGGTAATTTTTGTATTTTTAGAAGAGAAGGAGTTTCACCATGTTGGCCAGGATGGTCTTGATCTCTTGACCTTGCAAACTGCCCACCTCAGTGGTTCTTGTTTTTCTAGTTCCTTGATATACAACATAAAGTTGTTCATCTGTGCTTTATTTTTTTTTTCATGTAGGCATTTAATGCTATAAACTTCCTTCTTAGCACTGCTCTTCCTGTGTCCGATTGGTTTTGAAATGTTGTGTTTCAATTTCATTTCAAAACATTTTGTGATTTCCATCTTCATTTTGTCATTGACCCAAGATCATTCAGAAGCTTGTTCTTTAATTTCAATTGATTTGTATATTTAATTTCAATTGATTTCAAATGACCTTATTTTCATTTGTGAAATTGTATTGAGGCTCTTCTTTAGCCTAACATGTGATCTACCTTGGAGAATGTTCCGTGTGCCAATGATAAGACAGTGTATTCTGTGATTGTTGGGTAAATGTTCTGTAAGTATCTATTAGTCCATTTGGTCTAATGTCCAATTTAATTACAATGTTTTTTTGTTGTTGATTTTCTGTTTCAGTGATATGTCTAGTGCTGTGATTGAGGTGTTGAAGTCCCCCATAATATTGTATCTCTTTCTTTAGGTCTAGTAATATTTGCTTTATGAATTTGGATGCTCTTGTGTTGGGTACACAAATATTGAGAATTGTTATATCCTCCTGTGAACTGATGTTTTTATCATTATATAATGACCTTTGTGGAGGGTTTTTTTTTTTTTTTTTTACTGTTTCTGACTTAAAGTCTGTTTTATCTAAGGTAAGTATAGCTACTACTCCTGCTCACTTTTGGTTTGTGTTGAAATGGAATACCTTTTCTACCTTTTTAGGTTGGTGCAAAAGTAACCAGCTTTTGCCATTAAAAGTCATGCCATTGCAACAAAAACTGCAGCTACCTTTGCACCAACCTAATACGTTTAGTCTGTACGTGTCTTAACCAGTAAGGTAAGTTTCTTGTAAGCCGTGTATAGATGGTTCATGTTTTTCATCCATTCTTCCTGTCTCTATCTTTTAAGTGAAGTGTTTAATCCATTTAGATTCAAGGTTAATATTGATGTGTGAGCTTTTGTTCCTATCACAATGTTAATTGTTACCTCGTTGTTTTGTGAGTTCCTTATGCTTTTTCTTACCCTGTCTTCATGGTTTGATGGAGCCCTACCATGTTCCCGTTTGGTTTCTTTTCCTCCTTTGTGTAATTGTTTTAGAAGACCTGTGAGTTTTATACTTTCATGTGTTTTGATGATGATGAATATTGACCTTTTTTCCATGTTCAGAACTCCTTTGAGCATTTCTTATAGGACTGATCTAATGGTGACAAATTCTGTCGGAGTTCACTTGTCAGGGAAAAACTCTCTCCTTCATTTGTGAAGCTTTTTCTGGCAGGATTTAAAATTTGTGATTGGCACGGTATTTTTAAGCAGTTTGAAAATAGGCCTCCATTCTCTTCTGGCTCATAAGGTTCCTGCTGTGATGTCTACTGTTGAGAAATGCTGAGTGTATGATAAAATCGTATTGTTTGCTGTGAAGAACAATGGCAAGGAAAAACCTAGCCGCCCCGCACCCACCCAGTGGAAAACTGCTTGGGGCATTCTAAAGTAGCAAGACAGTATATGTCTATCACACACCGGTTAAAACAATTCTTGAAGCACGGGCTATGTGGCCCTGCCCCCGGGGATCCCTCGTGGAGAATACTTTCTGGTTTGTCCTTGACCAGTGGTAAGCAGGCACCAGCTGGCTACCTAGTTTATCTTGGTTTTGTGAGAAAACACAGAACACCTGTTAGTTAATAAGAATCACCTGTTCAGAGAGAATAACTAAGTGGGTCAGAATCTGTTCGAGGCCCTCAGCCAGGAATGCTGCCAGGCCCTGAGGCTCTCAGCTCGGAAGGCTGTTGGCCCCCCCGATAGTCCCACTTTGCTGTTCTATCTGGGTGTCTGCTTCTTAATGCCTTCAGTGCCACCTGGGTGGGGGTCTTCCAGGCCCACTTTAGGTTTCATCTTTGCCTATCCTTCCTTCATCAATGTCACTGATATTCTTTTTTTTTTTTTTTTTTGTAGTCCCATCTGAGACGGAGTTTCGCTCTTGTTACCCAGTCTGGAGTGCAATGGCACGATCTCGGCCCACCGCAACCTCCGCCTCCTGGGTTCAAGCAATTCTCCTGCCTCAGCCTCCTGAGTAGCTGGGACTACAGGCACGCGCCACCATGCCCAGCTAATTTTTTGTATTTTTAGTGGAGACGGGGTTTCACCATGTTGACCAGGATGGTCTCGATCTCTTGACCTCGTGATCCACCCGCCTCGGCCTCCCAAAGTGCTGGGATTACAGGCTTGAGCCACCGCGCCCGGCCTCACTGATATTCTTAAATTAATATAATATGCACATAATGTATTGCTCCCTAATTTTCACAGTGGACACACCCATGTATCCAGCACCGAGAGCAAGACACAGAACATCACCAACTTCCCTGAGGCCCCCTTGAGCCCCCTCCCAGTCATTACCCCAAGAGTGTCGAACAGCTGGACTAATAATACCGCCTACTATCATTGCTTTTAGTTTAAATTATTGCTCGCTCGTTCCATAAAGTCTCTGTTGAGTTGTACCTGAGACTTCTGAAAGGTTTGCTTATTGTTTGAATTCCATTCTTTGTCTTTGGTGGCTGCTCAGATTGTTCTCAGGTCTCGAGCTCTGCTCCGGCTGCTGGGCCTCTCAGAGGGGACGTCACTCTTTTGTATCTGCTCACTGGTGCTCAGGTGGCCGAGCATCTCACAGAAGTCCTCTGATGGAGAGAAGTAACATCTCTACCTTTGCCCGTCATAGACGTATTCACAGACACAGCCAAGCTACCAGTCCTCTGATGACACATCAAAAGGAAACCCTTTTGTCCCCTGTTTCATAAGTCCCCTGGCTAAACTCTCTACAGTGTAAGAACAAAATCAAACTGTACAAGAAATTATGATAAGTTTGCATTCACAAGAAATCCTTAGGCTCTGAGATGTCCATCAGCAAAATGTTAATATCTTTTTTGCATAGAGGCAAATTTATATCTATCTACTTTATCACTCTACCATCTACCTGTCTATCTGTGTTGGGTACATGGGTGTGTCCACTGTGAAAATTAAGGAGCAATAAATTATTTGTATATTTTATTAAGATATAAATATTATCTATCATCTCAATCTGAGATGGGGTTTCACCAAGTTGCCTAGGCTGGTCCTGACCTCCTGACCTTAGGTGAACCACCCGCCTTGGCCTCCCAAAGTGCTGGGATTTCAGGCTTGAGCCACCGTGCCCGGCCCTGTCATCTCAGACTTTACATCAATGGAATCATATTCTACATGCCACTTAATATATAGAACACTTTTCATGCCACTATTTGTGCTTATTTCCTTTTTTGTGTGCTTTCTAAAGTTTCTGCCCCTTCTTCCTCAGGCAATAGATGATGAGGAAGATCGCTTCTGTGGTGTGCGTCTACAGACTTCACCTCCAATGGAACCCCTGAACTTTGGTGCCTATTATATTGTGTCTAATTCTGCTCATCTGGAAATAATACCCACGGTTGGTAGAATTCAAACCTAACACCGCAGATTTCAGAATATGTTGTACTTTTGAAACAAACAGAATTTTAGCAAAATGCAGTATTTTCATCAATCACAAATATAAAGTTTTTAAAAACAAAAATATAGGACAACAGTCTTAATCAAATTACATATTTCCAAGGCCTTAACACAGGCAGAGGTAACATTTTAGCATTTGGGGCACTTACCTTGTGATTAAAACTGTGCATTTTATTCCTAAATCAAAGTTTCCACTTCGCTGTTAAGGTTCCCTGCAGACCTGACATCTTGCCTAGCTAAGTCACTTAACAAGTATTTGTTAAGGTGTTTGAATGAAGAAATATGATATCTTATATTACACATCACATTTTATGTATTTTTACTAAAGATGACTGTATATTTCTGCATAATTGAAGTTATCCCTACATATTATTTTAATAGAACATAATACACCAGGTAGGTAAAACCCTAGAGCTTTTTTTTTTTCTTTTTCTGAGACAGAGGTTCACTCTTGTTGCCCAACTGGAGTGCAGTGGTGCGATCTCGGCTCACTGCAACCTCCGCCTCCTGGGTTCAAGTGATTCTTCTGCCTCAGCCTCCCGAGTAGCTGGGATTACAGGCACGTGCCACCACGCCCAGCTAATTTTTGTATTTCTAGTAGAGATAGGGTTTTGCCATGTTGGCCAGGCTGGTCTCGAACTCCGGACCTCATGATCCCCCCGCATCAGCCTCCCAAAGTGCTAGGATTACAGGCATGAGCCACCACACTCAGCCAACACATGAGATTTTTATACTCAGCTCAGATCATTTTTCTCTGGCTCATGGGGTGTTTAGAGCTAGGTTGCTCTTGCTTTCATAAAATAAAAGTATTTACTTGTGGCCAGGCGCGGTGGCTCAAGCCTGTAATCCTAGCACTTTGGGAGGCCGAGGCGGGTGGATCACGAGGTCAAGAGATCGAGACCATCCCGGTCAACACGGTGAAACCCCGTCTCTACTAAAAATACAAAAACATTAGCTGGGCATGGTGCGCGTGCCTGTAATCCCAGCTACGCAGGAAGCTGAGGCAGGAGAATTGCCTGAACCCAGGAGGCGGAGGTTGTGGTGAGCCGAGATCGCGCCATTGCACTCCAGCCTGGGTAACGAGAGCAAAACTCCGTCCCAAAAAAAAAAGTATTTACTAACATTGTAAATTTAAAAGAATGTTTACTGGCTGGGCGCGGTGGCTCATGCCTGTAATCTTAGCACTTTGGGAGGCTGAAGTGGGCAGATCACAAGGTCAGGAGTTTGAGACCAGCCTGGCCAACATGGTGAAATCCCATCTCTACTAAAAATAGAAAAATTAGCCAGGCGTGCTGGCACGCATTAGTAATCTCAGCTACTCAGGAGGCTGAGGCAGGAGAATCGCTTGAACCCAGGAAGTGGAGGTTGCAGTCAGGTGAGATTGTGCCACTGCACTCCAGCCTGGAAGACAGAACAAGACTCCTTCTCCAAAAAAAAAAAAAAAAATTTACCTCTTTCCTTCTGTTTTCCCCTCAACCAGCCATGACATTGCACAGAAAACAGGGGTACGTTCCATTGGCCAGTTCACTATAGGGAGCCAGGCCTTCCCACCCACCACTGCTTTAAGTCAACTGCTGTATTTCCTCTAGGAGTTGAAATTGTCCTACAGGAGTCCTGGAGAAATCCAGCCCTTCTCGAAATTCTATGCTGGGCAGATGAAGGAACCCATTCAAGTTGAGATTACTGACAAAAGGCACGGGACTTTGGTCTGGAAGACTGTGGTGAAGCCAGGTAGGTGAGTGGGTGAGGCTGGCATTTTTGGTGAGGGGAAAATATACCTCTACCATTGGATGTCAAAGAAGAAGGCCTGTTTCTGGTTCCATCCCAGATTAAAAATCGATGGTCAGTGTATTGCCAATGTGAGGAAAACAGAAATGATGGCAGTGGTTTATCCATAGCAGTTCAAGTGCTCAAGGGGCCTGAGAATGGGGATGGCCATGGGAATGGAAACCCCCCACATCTGCGGGTAAACAACAGGAGGATTTTTTTTTTTTTAAGACAGACTCTTGCTGTGTTGCCCAGGCTGGAGTGCAGTGGTGCAGTGGTGCAATCTCGGCTCACTGCAAGCTCCTCCTCCTGGGTTCCAGTGATTATCCTGCCTCAGTCTCCCAAGTAGTTGGGGCCACAGGCACCCACCACCACACCTGGCTAATTTTTATATTTTTAGTAGAGATGGGGTTTCACCCCGTTGGCCAGGCTGGTCTCAAACTCCTGACCTCAAGTGATCCACCCACCTTGACTTCCCAAAGTGCTAGGATTACAGGTGTGAGCCACTGTGCATGGCCAAAAACAGGAGATTTTAAGAGTCAGAACAAACCTAAAGACTACTTCATTCCATTTTCTGCACAATTTAATAAATTATTCCACACTCACCTTTCTTAATTTTGGGATGTCATGTTCGTTCAGATAGTCTGATGAAAAATCCTATAAAATGTTTCATCCGTTCATACAAACTCGACATCAGAAACATAATTTCATGGAATTTAGAAACTCCCAGAAAAGCTACCAAAGATCTCTTCATAGGTCCTTGAATCTCTGTGGATACATTAAGTATCTCCAGTACTTGCAAAGGTCGTCCTGTTTGAATACCGACGATGCAGAAATCAGAGTCTTCAATCATAACAGGTCATTATCTTCAGTAACACATGAGGAAAATTTCAATAAGGACATTAAGATAACATTTGCATAGGAACTGTAAATTGCCTTAACCTTTTAGGTAGTAATATGTACTTATATTAATTTAAAAATTGTCCCTTGTGGCCAGTCTCAGTGGCTCACGTCAGTAATCCCAGCACTTTAGGAGGCCAAGGCGAGAGGATCGCTTGAGGTCCGGAGTTCGAGACCAACCTGGGCAACATGATGAAACCACATTTCTACAGAAAATACAAAAACTAGCTGGGCATGGTGGCAGCTGCCTGTAGCCCCAGCTACTCGGGAGGCTGAGGTGGGAGGATCACTTGACCCCAGAGGGTGGAGGCTGCAGTGAGCCGAGTCTGCACCACTGCACTCCAGCCTGGGCGACAGAGCGAGACCCTGTCTCAAAAAAAAAACTATCCTTTGAACAAAAAGCCACTTTTAGAAATCTATACTATAATGTAAGAGTACACAGATGAGAAATTATATGCAGTGATATTCTTTGAAGCATTATTGGTAATGAGGGAAAAATGAAGCCAACATGAACGCCCAGGAATAAGGGGATACTTGACATATGAGTTCTTCTGGAACATGAGTACATTGTGGAATATTTTGGAGCAATTCAGATGGGTTTTGCCTGTTTCTGCTCATGTATTTTAGTAGTTTGGGACAATACTGTCACAGTGTTGATGGTGTTGGCTAATCCAGCCCTTGTGGTCGTCAGCCACTGGTCTTCCTTCTTTCACTGAATTCTCACAGTCCCATCTCCTCATAGTGTCCAGAGAGCTGCAGATCAGGCCTGGCGCGATGGCTCACGCCTGTAGTCCCAGCACTTTGGGAGGCCAAGGCAGGCAGATCACCTGAGGTCAGGAGTTCAAGACCAGCTTCCACAACATGGCAAATCCCCATCTCTACTAAAAATACAAAAATTAGCTTGGTGTGGTGGCACCTACCTGTAATCCCAGCTACTCGGGAGGCTGAGGCAGGAGAATTGCTTGCACCCAGGAGGCGGAGGTTGCAGAAATAGAGAGCTGCAGACCAGCTCCATGGCTGTGCCTCCTTTCCCCCAGACATCAGGAGTTTTAGATGAAAGTATAAGACCATGTTGAAGGCCTCCTGGGAAATATCATTTCCATTATTTTCAAATTGGTAGCTTCGATTGTCAAACCTTCTATCAACTTATAAGTCCTGGTACCAACAAGAACAAAAATTTACTCTTTCAATGTTGATAGTTGATGTCTAAAACGCATTTATCTTCACTATAATTTATGACATTATAATATTGTTGTAGCCCTCGGAGTTCCTAAGACGTCCACCTGCACCTAGAAATATTGGGAACATGGGTTGGGAATGGTGCTCACACCTGTAATTCCAGCACTTTGGGAGGCTGAGGCAGGCAGATCATCCGAGGTCAGGAGTTCAAGACCAGCCTGGCAAATGTGGCGTAATCCTGTCTCTACTACAAATACAAAAGTCAGCTGCACGTGGTGGCACATGCCTATAATCCCAGTTACTTGGGAGGCTGGGGCTGTAGAATTGCTTGAACCTGGGAGGCTGAGGTTACCTTGAGATTGGGCCACTGCAATCCTGAGAACAGGACTCAGTCAAAAAAAGGAAGAAAAGAAAAGAAAGAATATTGGGAAAATGTGTTCCTCTCTCTGATACATTTCCTGAATGGGCACATGACTTAATTGGGTTTCATTAGTGTATTAGCATGCCAAACAAGATCCCTGCCTTATAGAATATGTAGAATTAAATTGTTCTAGTTGGCGCGTGAAAGACTAGAAAAGTATCACACCTCCAATTCTTCCCTCTTTTGTAGTGGACATCCAGCTTGGAGCTGCAGCAGCCCCTCCTGTTTCATCAGGTTGGTGAAATGTTTACCCTAAAGCCAGGGGGATGTACACGGTATCAAGAGGCCTTGACTGCTTTGACTTCACAAAGCGACGCTCCGTTCCTTCTAACCTTCTCATTTACAAGAACGAGCGATGCCAGAGAAAAATGAGTGTGATTTACTTATTGGAAGGCATGAGGACATGATGTCCACACAAGGAGTACCAACAGTAAATTCTTGGGGTGAATATCTTGCATCTGGGAAACTGTAAGTTAAAGTCATTCTATACTGAACTTTGAGTGGGATACAGTAAGTACAAGACTAGAAAGTTAATCAATAACCGGAAGTAAAATACCCAAAATGAAATGAATGTGGGCTAGGAAACAGACACAAGATGAAGAGCCATCCCCGGCCGGGCGCTGGGGCCCACGTCTGTAATCCCAGCACTTTGGGAGGCTGAGGTGGGTGGATCACCTGAGGTCGGGAGTTCGAGACCCACCTGACCAACATGCTGAAACCCCCTTCTCTACTAAAAACACAAAAATTAGCTGGGTGTGGTGGCACATGCCTGTAATCCCAGCTACTTGGGAGGCTGAGGGAGGGGAATCACTTGAACCTGGGAGGCGGAGGTTGTAGTGAGCTGAGATGTTGCCACTACACTCCAGCCTGGACGAGTAAAACTCCATCTCAAAAAAAAAAAAGAGCCACCCCCCACCCTGGAATGATGAATCTTTGTTTGGTGTAGATCTTAAATCCTATCAGAGAGCAATTCTTAGAGTCTGCCACTCCCCCTTCCGTCCAGGTGCAGCCTTTGTAAAGGAGAACCTCCGGCAACTCCAAGTCAGGATGGGGGACCTGAAGGGGGTGCTCGATGATCTCCAAGACAGTGAGGTTCTCACTGAGAATGAGAAGGAGCTGGTGGAACAGGCAAAGACACAGCAGAGCAAGAACAGGGCTCTGCTGAGCATGGTGGAGAAGAAAGGGGACCCAGCTCTGGAGGAGCTCTACAGAAGCATTAGTAAAAGGGACCCTTACCTTGTGCTCCATCTTAGACAGCAGACTTTGTAAAGTGAGTCAGTCCGAGTGTCTGGAAGAGAGAATCCAGCGTTCTCATTGGAAATGGATGAAGAGAAATGCATCCTTGATTCCAGTGTCCAAAACAGAGGAGGGCTGAGTAACATTTGCCCATCACACAGGCTTTTGGGACAGATACATAACCTAGAAGATACTCATTGGCTGTATCCTAATGCCTTTTCCTCAAGAATATCTGAAGAGAAAGACTATACCTTCTGGCCAGACACAGTGGCTCATGCCTGTAATCCCAGCACTGTGGGAGGCCAAGGCATATGGATCATCTGAGGTCAGGAGTTCGAGACCATCGTGGCCAACGTGGTGAAACCCCATCTTTACTAGAAATAAAAAAAATTGGCCAAACATGGTGATGAATGCCTGTAATCTCAGCTACTTGGGAGGCTGAGGCAGGAGAATGGCTTGAACCTGGGAGGTGGGGATTGTAGTGAGCTGAGATTGCACCACTGCACTCCAGCCTGGGCAACAGGAGGAAAATACATCTCAAAAGAAAATAAAAATAAATTAATAAAATAAAATAGGATAAAGGGCCAGGCGCAGTGGCTCATGCCTGTAATCCTAGCACTTTGGGAGGCTGAGGCAGGAGAATGGCTTGAACCAGGGAGTTGGAGGTTTCAGTGAGCCGAGGTTACGCCACTGCACTCCAGCCTGGCAACACAGTAAGACTCTGTCTCAAAAAAAAATTTTTTTTCAAAATCATGCCTAGAGAAGGGTCATGATGGCTGAGTGGACACAGCCAGGAAGCGCCACTTCCACCAAGAGAAACCAAAATATTAGGTAAACCAACATACCTAGAGAAGGTCTTCAGAGAGAAAACACCAAGAGTTGGTACAGAGGAGATGCAGACATCAGGGCTGAAGTGAGGAACCTGGGAGTGTGGTGTGGGGGAGCTGAATGCTAGAGCTGGTTCCCAGCACTGAAAGGCTCCTAGGGAAGGGGTGAGTGAAGGGGCAGAGGGACCACAGGCTCTCGCCACAGACTGTGGCCGTCCTAGCTACAGGAGACCACACGCCTTCAATCGGCATTTCGTCAGAGGCATTTGAGCCAGAGCAACTCCATCCTGAGGTGGATCACTTCACTTCAGGAGTTCAAGACCAGCCTGGCCAACATGGTGAAACCCCATCACGACGAGAAAACAGAATTAGCCAGGCGTGGTGGCACGCACCTGTAATCCCAACTACCCCATCTTGAGTAGGAGCTAGACAAAAGGAGGCTGAGACCTACTGGGCTGCATTCCCAGACGGTGAAGCCATTTCAAGTCACAGGATGAGGTAGGAGGTCAGCACAAAGTAGATGTCATAAAGACCTTGCTGATAAAACAGGTTGCAGTAAAGGAGCTGGCCAAAACCCACCAAAACCAAGATGGCGACAAGAGTGACCTCTGGTCATCCTCACTGCAACACTCCCACCAGTGCCACGACAGTTCATGGATACCATGGCAATGTCAGGAAGTTACCCTGTGTGGTCTACAAAGAGGAGACATGAGTAATCCACCCCTTGTTTACCATATCATCAAGAAATAACCATAAAAATGGGTTTTTTTTTTGTTATAATGGTTATAATTTTTATTGGTTTATAAATTTAATTTATAATTAAATTTTATAATGGTTATAATTTTTTTGGCAAGCAAGGCCAGGTGCAGTGGCTCACACCTGTAATCCCAGCACTTTGGGAGGCCGAAGCAGACAGATCACCCGAGGTCAGGAGTTCAAGACCAGCCTGACCAACATGGAGAAACCCATCTCTACTAAAAATACAAAAATTAGCCAGGCATGGTGGCACACGTCTGTAATACCAACTACTCGGGAGACAGATGCAGGAGAATCCCTTGAACCTGGAGGGCGGAGGTTGCAGTGAGCTGAGATGGAGCCATTGTCTCTCCTGCCTGGGCGAGAAGAGTGAGACTCTGTCTCAAAAAAAAAAAAAAAACAAACAAACAAACAATGGGCAACCGGCAGCCCTCGGGGCTACTCTCTCTATGGAGCAACCATTCTTTTATTCCTTCACTTTCCTAACAAACTTGCTTTCACTTTATGGACTGGCCCTGAATTCTTTCTTGCATGAGACCTGTCTCAAAAAAAAAAAGAACAAGTGAACTTGAATCTGATCAAGCCTCCATATCTAAACACCAGTTTAAAAGAAATTCAAAGGCTAGAAAACATGTTAAATAATGGCCAGACACTGTAGTTCAAGCCTGTAATCCTAGCACTTTAGAGGCCAAGTCAGGCAGATCACCTGAGGTCAGGAGTTCAAGACCATCCTGACCAACATGGCGAAACCCCATCTCCACTAAAAATACAAAAAAAAAAAAAAAAAAAAATTAGCTGGACATGGTGGCAGGTGCCTGTAATCCCAGCTACTTGGGAGGCTGAGGCAGGAGAATCACTTGAACTTGGGAGGTGGAGGTTGCAGTGAGCTGAGATCACACCATTGCACTCCAGCCTGGGTGACAGTGGGAGACTCCATCTTGAAAAAAAAAAAAAAAAAGAAGAAGAAAGAAAAACATGTTAAATGACAATACAAGGATGTAACTGGCAAAACTGAAACCAAAGAAAATTTAACAGAAAAAATGACCTAGTTTCTACAACAGTAACAATAAGGTTCAAATTGCGGGGGCGGGGGGAAATTAGGTAAGCAGCAACAAAGAATTAAAAATTAGATGAACAAAGAATTAACACAGAAAAACTATTACAATGGTTGATTTGTATCTCTATGCAAAGCTATAAAGTAAAAATAACCAGGAAAATGACAATGTTAACAAAATATTTTATGATTTCGTGAATTATGATTACTTTTACTTGTAAGGGAGTAAAGCATTTTTTAACTCTTCATCTTTTAAACGTACATAGTGATTTTTTTTTTTTTTAATACAGGGTCTCACTCTGTCAACCAGGCTGGAGGGCAGTGGCACAATATCAGCTCATTACAACCTCCACCTCCTGAGCTCAAGTGATCCTTCCACCTCAGCCTCCCAAGTAGCTGGGACTACAGGCATGCACCACACACTAGCTAATTTTTGTATTTTTTGTAGAGACAGTGTTTGCCATTTTGCCCAGGCTGGTCTTGAACTCTTAAGCTCAGGCGACCCACCCACATTGGCCTCTCAAAGCATGAGCCACCGCGCCTGGCCATCATAGTGATATTTTTACAGGTGAAGTAATATATAATGTTCCCAAATTTCTCTTCTTTCTTTTTCTTTCTTTTTTTCTTTCTTTCTTCTTTCTTTCTTTTTCTTTCTTTCGTTCTTTCTCTCACTCTTTCTTTCTTTTTCTTCTTTTTTTTTTTGAGACAATCGTTTAGCTCTTGTTGCCCAGGCTGGATTGCATCTCGGCTCACTGCAACCTCTGCCTCCCAGGTTCAAGCGATTCTCCTGCCTGAGCCTCCCAAGTAGCTGGGATTACCGGCATGCGCCACCATGCCTGGCTAATTTTGTATGTTTAGTGAGGACGAGGTTTCTCCATCTTGGTCAGGTTGGTCTCAAGCTCCCGACCTCAGGTGACATGCCCGCCTCGGCCTCCCAGTGTTCCCAATTTTCTTTAAAAACATCCACCTAGCAGAGAGGGCACAGGTGAAACGGGATATTGAGGATGCCAAAAAAAAAAAAAAAGGAGGTTTTTGAAGGGACAGGATGAGAAAACAAGAACAGGAAGCACGGCTGGAGGAGATGAAGACCCAGAGAAAACAGAAGGGAGTTGAACAACTACAACCACTAGAGGGCAGAAGAGGACTATCCTTTAGTGCCCTCAGCCCAGACCTGAACCAAGGCTCAAGAGGGTTCTTCCCAGCTCCTGGGACTTCTTATGTTGTAACTTGGGGACCCCTGAAAAGGAGAGCCTGAAAGGAGGGCTTACATGGTAGTTTATTTGGAGAAAAAGTCAGAAACTTTCTTATGCCACATTTTACTTTTTTTTCTTTTTTGAGACAGTCTTACTCTGTCCCCCAGGCTGGAATGCAGTGGTATGATCTCGCCTCACTGCAGGTTCAAGCAATTCTGCCTCCGCCTCCCGAGTAGCTGAGATTACAGGCATGTGCCACCATGCCCGGCTAATTTTTATATTTTTAGCAGAGACAGGGTTTCACCATGTTGGCCAGGGTAGTCGAACTCCCAACCTCTGGTGATCCATCTGCCTTGGCCTCCCAAAGTGCTGGGATTACAGGGGTGAGCCATCGCACCCGGCCATACATTTTACTTTTTAATACTACATACCATGGAATACTGTTCAGACTTTGAAAGGAATGAAATACTGGTGGGGCATAGCAGCTGTGCCCCGAGACAGAGTCTTGCTCTGTCACCCAGGCTCTAGTGCAGTGGTGCGATCTCAGTTCACTGCAACCTTGGCCTCCAGGGTTTAAGCAAATCTCCTGCCTGAGCATCTGGAGAAGATGGGATTACAGGCATGAGCCAACAAGCCCTGTTAATTTTTGTCCTCACCCCTGGGACCAGGGACCAGGACATCCTCTGGTGTGGGAGGCATACAGTGAGCACCATGACTGAAGCCAGGACTGTCTCAGGAGAGGTACTTCCCTTCCTGGCTACCTGAAGCCCTCTGTAGGGCTGTGCTTCTGGAAATGCATTCAAGGTCAGAGCTTCTAGTCCCAGTAAAGCGGATCCTCGGGAAGACACCTGACCAGAAGGAAATCACTGGCTTGGACGATCTGAGTCTGGGGTGGGGCAAAAAACACTCCCGGCGGGGCCACCTGGCGGAATCCTGCTAAGGCAGCACCACCCAGAGACCAGAAATGTTCATTTGGGCGGTGGGGTGAGGGCGTTGGAATTGGTGACTGGGCAGTTGTCTAAAAATCATTGTGGGAAACTAAGGACTGTCTACCGCTGGCTTCCAAAATTCTGACGCACAGTAATATATCGTTTTGCATCTGCATACTTTTTTTTTCGAGACAAGGTCTTGTTCTGTCACCCAGGCTGGACTGCAGTGCCATGATCTCAGCTCACTGCAACTTCTGCTTCCAGGGTTCAAGCGATTCTCCTGCCTCAGCCTCATGAGTAGCTGAGATTACAGGCACACGACACCACGCCCAGCTAATTTTTGTATTTTTAGCAGAGATGGGGTTTCACCATGTTAGCCAGGCTGGTCTCAAACTCCTGGCCTCAGGTGATCCGCCCTGCCTTGGCCTCCCAAAGTGCTGGGATTACAGGCATGAGTCACCGCACCTGGCTGCACCAGCATACTTCCACAAAAGAATACCAACCTCAGTAGTTAACAATAATGGAGTTCAAAATAACTAGAAGAGAGGATTTTGCATGTTCTCACCACAAAGAAACGACAAATGTCTAGGATGAT